GTCCTACAGCACCTCCCCCGCCGGCACGCCGCCGATCGGCTCGCCCCGCCACCCGCACCAGCGGCAGCCCCGCGCCGGAGCCGCGGCCGCAGCCTCGGCGGCTGGCGGGGCGGCGCAGAATGGCGGCGCGGCGCGCGCCAGCACGGCGTCGTCGGAGACGGGGGCGGCGCCGGATTGGGACGACGCGCGCAGTGAGGCGTCCGGGTCCAGCTACAACCCAAACGGCCCGGACGGCCCGCCTGCCTGGGCGGGCGCCGCCGCGGGCGCGGGAGCGGGGGCCGCCACTGCGGGGGCAGCTTCGCGTGGGGCGCCGGGCGGCGGCGCGGCGATGCGGCTGTGGCTGCGGCTGGAGCAGCGGTCGGACGTCCGCAGGTGGGGCGAGGCCGGGGGCGCCCCCGCCGTGCGCGCCCCGCACCTGCAATCGCATCCGCCCAGATCCTGTTGTGGTTGACGGGCTTTGACAGGCCTTGCGTTGCAAGCTGCGGTCTGGGCAGAGGTTTCATCAGACGCGACGCGCAGTCCAGCATTTACCACCGCCTGCTTGTGCGACTTTAACGCGCCGGGCTTACGGACACGTGATGTCGGCTTACTAGACCTTTGTACTTCAACACTTGTATCATAGTGTACGGCGGTCTGCGTGCCCCCACCCCACACACCAGGCTGGTAGACATGCTGTCCCGCGGGGTGCGCCAGGCGGCGGACGATCTGGCGGCGGCGGTCAACGAGGTCAACCAGCTGCGCGCCAACAACGGCGCGCTGGCGAGCCAGATCGCAGAGCTCACGGGCGGCGGCGGGCCGGGCGCGTGGGAGGAGGCGCAGCGCCAGCTGGCGGCGGTGGGTGGCTTGCCCCCCTCTGATCCCATACCTCCCTGCCCTGCCGCTGCTCGTTGCCGGGGCGCCCGCGCTGACTCGGTCAGTCGGTCTGTCCGTCAGTGGCTGGCCTCAAGCTATTCAGGCAGCCTCCCCCCCCCCCCCCGCGCCCTGGCCCCAGGAGCGCGCCCTCTCTGTGCAGCTGCGCGCCCGCCTGGCGGACGCGGAAGCTTCCCAGCGCGAGTTCATCGACCTGGAGCAGCAGCTGGCGGAGGCGGAGCGCGCGCGCGCGGCGGCGGCGGCGGCGCTGCGGGACGCTGAGCAGCGGGTCCAGGCGGCGCAGCAGGTGCGCGCGTGTGTGAGTGTTTGTGTGATTTTTTGTGTAAGTGTGTAAGTGTGTTTGTGTGTTGCCGGGGTGACGTTGATTGATCTTTTAGCAGCGCCTGCCTCCTCATGGCTGCTCTCGCCCTGCTGAATCGGGCTTGTACTTGCCTGTCGGTCGAGCAGCTGCCAACCATCCAGCGGGCTGCGTCAATGCTGCATGCACGCGCTCTACTGCGCGCGCCCCGCCGCGGCCGCCGCACCGGAACACAGGGGGATGCGGCAGCCACGTCCCGGCTGGAGGAGGCAGCGGCAGAGGCGGAGGAGGCGGCGCGCCGCGCTGAGGAGGCTGCGGCGGCGGCGGCTGCCGAGCGCGCTGAGCTAGCAGCTGACGTGTCGCGGCTCAAAAACGTAGGCGGGCGGGGAAAGGGGAGGGTGTGCCTGCCGCGCCTGCCGAAATTCACCCTTGCATCAGGCACGCTGCACTGGCCCCCGCCTCTTTCGCTGCCGCCACTGCCCCGCTCCTGGCACCAAGACAGAGTAGTTGTGCAGCCGCACCTCTCACCCTTCATATTGCCCCCGCCGTCTGCGCGATGCAACAACAACAGGAGCTGTCTGCGGCGCTTGAGGCGCGGCGCGCCGCAGAGGCCACGGCCGCGGCCGCGCAGGGCGAGGCCGTGTCCGAGCGGGGTGCGGCTGCGGCGGCCGCGGCCAAGGCACACGCGGACCAGCTGGTGCTGGCAAAGGAGATCAAGCGCCTGCGGTCCCAGGTGGGCGCGGGCGCAGCGGCCCTGGAGATAAGTGGGGCGGCTAGGTCTCGGCTCCCAGTTGGGGTGGCGGGGTGGCCGCCAGCGGGCCTCCCCCGATTGGGATTGTGCATGTGTGCGCGGGCCTGGCACTCCTGCGCGACATGGCGGCAGGGCCCCTGCACCTTGCCACCATCTGTGGCATCACAAGGCTCGGTCACCGGCCGTCTTTTGTTTGCGCTCCGACATCGCCGTTTCTGACGCCGCGCTGGCCGCCTTTGCAGGTGTCTGCTTTGCAGTCTGAGGCGGCACAGCTTCGCCAGGCGCGGGACGATCAGGAGCGCGAGGCCGCGGCCGCGCTGCAGCGGCAGCGGGAGGAGCTGCAGCAGCAGATCTCGGCGGCTTCCGCGGCGGCGGCTGCCGAGCAGGAGCAGCTGCGCGGCAGCTGGGAGGGGCGGCTCGCGGCGGCGGAGGCGGCGGCCGCGGAGGGGCGCGGCGAGCTGGAGCGGCAGCTGGCTGACGCGCGGGCGGCGGCGGAGGGGCAGCGGGCGGCGGCGGCGGCGCTGCTGGCGCGCGCGGAGGCGGCGGAGGCTGCTGCTGCGGCGGCGGCAGTCGAGGCTGCCGAGAACCGAGCAGTGGCCGCGGCATCTGCGGAGGCGGCCGGCGCGCGCGAGGCGGCGGCGGCCGCGGCTGGGGAGCGGGAGCGGGAGCTGGAGGGGCAGGCTGCTGCGCTGCAGGCGCAGCTGGAGGCGGCGCGGCTGGAAGGCGAGGCGTTTGCCGCGGAGCGCGGGGCATGGGACGCGGAGCGCGCCACGCTCGCCGCCGCAGCCGCAGCGGCCGAGGAGGCGGCGCGCGCGGTGGGGGCCGAGGCCGCAGAGCGCGCCGCCGCGCATGCGGCGGAGCTCCGGGACGCGGAGGCGCGCGGCGCCGAAGCGGCGGCGGCGGCCCTTGACGCGGAGCGGGCGGCGGCGGAGCAGCGGCAGTCGGAGGTGCTGCAGGAGGCCGAGGCGGCTGCGGGGGCCGAGCGGGCGGCGGTGGCCGCTGCTGCCTCGGAGGCCGAGGCGCTGCGGGAGCGGCTGCGGGCCGCACAGGACGAGGCGGCGGCCGCAGCGGCCGCGTCGACGGCGGCCGCGGCCGCGCTGGCGTCCGAGCTTGCGCCGCTGCGCTCCCAGCTGGAAGCACTGCAGGAGCGGCTGGCTGCTTCTGACGCGGCGCTGCGGGAGGCGGAGGGTCGGTTGGAAGACGAGCGGTCGAGGGGCCACGATGTGTCAGGGGAGCAGCAGTTGGAGCAGCAGCTGCAGCCGGCGGCTGCAGACCTTGCAAAGTCCCAGTCGCGCTGCGCGGTGCTGGAAGCCGCCGCGGCCGAGAGCGCGGGGCAGGCGGCGGAGGCGCGGGCGGGGGCGGAGGGCGGCGCGGACGCGCTGCGGGCGGCGCTCGCGTCGGCGGCGGAGCGGGAGGCGGAGCTGCAGCAGCAGTTGGCGCGGGCGGCCGCCGCGCTGGAGGCGGCGCGGCTGGAGGGGCGGGACGAGCTGCAGGGAGTGCAGCGGCGGTTGGACGAGTCGGAAGCTGGGCAGGCGGCGCTCCGGGAGGAGCTGGCGGCGGCGCAGGCGGCTTGCGCCTCCGCCGAACAGGTTGCGGCTGCCGCCGATGCCGCTGCAGCAGCAGCGGCGGCGGCAGCAACGGCGGCGGCCCCAACCCCGGCATTTGCACCAGTCTCAGGAGAGACCGATGCCGCCGGCGCGGCGGGCGACGCTGCTGCGGTGGCGGCGACGGCGGACGCGCAGCGGCGCCTGACCGCGCTCGAAGCGGAGCGCGAGGCGGCGGCCGCGGCGGCCGCCGAGGCGCTCGCGCGCGCCGCAGATGCGGAGGCGCGGGGGGACGCCACGGCGTCCGCGGCGGCGGAGGCGCAGCAGCGAGCCGCGGCGCTGGAGTCTGACAACGCCCGGCTCTCGGCTGCCGCGGAGCAGGCGTCTCTGCAGCTGCAGCAAGAGCGGGCGCGGCTCGCAGCCGACTTGGAGGAGGCGCGCGCCGAGGCTTCGCGCCTGCGGCAGCGGCTCGACGCGGAGGCGGAAGGCGGCCGGGAGCTGCAGCGGCGCTCGGAGGAGCAGCAGGCGGCGGCTGCGGCGGCGGCTGGTTCCGGGCCAGCAGAGCTCGGTGGCGGGGGCGCGCGTGTGGTCGCTCTGGCGGAGGAGCTGGCGCGGGTGAGGGAGCAGCTGCAGCAGCAGCAGCAGGAGCAGCGGCCGGCCCGCAGCCCGCCGCCGCTCGCGGCCGCGGCCGACGAGCTGCGCGCGGCGCTCGCGCAGCTGCGCGCCGCCGACCTGGACGCATGCCTGCCCGCCGCCGCGCTCGGCGCGGCCGCGCCCGGCGGGCCCAGGGCCGAGCGCCTGCTGGCGGCTGTCGCGGCCAGCAGCGCCGCGCTCGAGGCGGCGCGGGGGCGCGCCGAGGCGGCGCTTGCGGCCGCTGCGGCGCCCGTTGCAGGTGTTGCTGCGGCGGCGCCTTTAGACCTCCTGTCCGGTGATGATTTCGATGTTGCTGGCGTTCCACCTGGCGTGGCAGTTAGCGCTGCAGCGGCAGAGGACGGCGAGGTGGCGGCGCTGCTGCGCGATCTGGTGTGTGATCTGGCGGCCAAGTCGCAGCTGGTGAACGAGCTCAAGTGTGACAGGCTGCTGGCAGAGGAGGCGCAGCAGCAGCAGCAGCAGCAGCAACAGCAGCAGCAGCAGCAGCAGCAGCAGCAGCAGCAGCAGCAGCAGCAAGTTGGGGACAGCGGCGCCGTCGCGGCGCGCGCGGTCGGCGCGCAGGCGCTGGCCGCGGGCGAGGCGGCGCGGGGAATGCTGAACCGCTGGCTGGGGCCAGGTGCGCCGGGGGGTCCGTCACACGGTTTGCAGCAGCAGCAGCAGCAGCAGCAGCAGCAGCACCAGCAGCAGCAGCCTCAACAGCAACCCCAGCATCTGCAGCAACAGCAGCACCACCACCCAGCTGGCGGTGCCCATCCGTCTTCTGCGGGGCCCGCGCCGTCGCTGCTCAGCCCCCAAATTCTGGGAGGCCTCGGAGCGCGTGTGACTGAGGGCGTCAGCAGCCTGGGCCTGGGAGCCCTCATGGGGCGGGGCCAGCCGCAGCAGCAGCAGCAGCAGCAGCAGCAGCAGCAGCAGCAGCAGCAGCAGCAGCAGCAGCAGGTGCAGCAGCCGCAGCACCCCCGCCAGCAGCAGCAACCGCGCCAGCATCCACCACCCCCATCGAGATAGCCACGGCTGTCTTATTGTAATTGCTGTGCACGTGGCAGTCGCTGGTTGCTGGTTCAGAACTACTTGGTGACAACGACGGACACGTGAGGCTTTTGGGTGTGGGAAGGCCACATCAGCACCGGCCATCTCTGGTCACCTCGCTGGAATTGCAGAGCAATGGTGTGCTGATCACCGCTTATGGTGTTGGTATGATCTGTAGTGGCACAAGCTGACAGCTTCTACCGTAAACGTAGGTACAAGTGGCAGGTGATGGGCCGCCCTCCACCTGACCGTTGCACATACAGTATGAGCTTTAAAGAGCTCATCTGTCTCCGATATTAGTATCGTTACTTTGACAGCTGTCAAGAAATGATTGAATGCGGCTTGTGCCTTCCAAGTGCTTCTACAACTCTGGACTGTGCTTCCGGGTCGAGACCGCGCCTTTCGTCTGGGCCTGCTGATCTAGCCTCAAATGGCTGCCCTGACCTACCAACGTTGATATAATTGATTAAAATTAGTACCTAACAACATTTACCGCACTCACAGCTAGACGCGGTCGCTATGGGCACGAATTTTGTGGACCCCTTGCTGTCTGATGGGTCCAGCTCTGCAAGTTCCTGGGCGGCAGTAGTGTACATGAAGCAATGCATCGCGGTTGTGGCAGCCATGAGGATCTCCATGGGGATGCTTCTGCCGACATACGCCCATGACTCAAGGCAGCCCACAACCGCAAGCAGGCTTATTGCACGCTGCCTATGCTGCGCCGGTGCCCTTTGCGTGCTGGCATTCATCAACATTGGGTTCACGTCCCAGCAGAACTTCAGAGCCATCCGTGGTAGACTGGAGGCAGTGGTGCAGCCACCCAGCCAGCCACGGCACCACCCCACCAACAAAACAGGGTTGTACTACACAAAGCTCACACAAGTGCCTGTCCCTGCACATGAGGCAATTGCAGGCAGGAAGCTGTGCGAATTGGATTATCAGTCCAACCTGTCAGGATCCATTTACCGTGATGCAGCGGGGGAGTACCTGTTCGAGCCTCCTGAGTGCCGTTTGCGGCGCTTCACGGCTGCCCAGGCGCGAAAAATCCTGCTGGCAAAGACTGTGGCGTTCTATGGCGACTCCTTGATGCGATACCACTTTTTGAACCTGGCGGTTTTCTTGGCAACAGACCAGCTGATGGAGCGGTATGCGGGCGTCCCAGAGACCTCCCCCAGCCTCAACCAGCAACATCAGTTCCTGCACCCCAAGTTTGCGGTGGACACCAATGACACAGACATATTGTTGTTCAGGGAGTATCACAAGGTGGTGGACCGCACTGGCGAGTGCATGAATACCTCTGAAACCTGCACCAATAAGCGCGACTGGTGCAATTTTCAGGTCAACACGCTGGCCGGCAACTTCACGCTGCAGTTCTTCCCCCTGTACGGCGCCACCAACGCCAGCGATACATTGGACACGCTGATCACCATCATGCAGAACGGCGCTGACATCATCGTCCTCAACCATGGGCTGTGGGGTGGTGAGAACATGACAGGCTATTGGTCTGATGTCCTGGGCCGCGCCAAGCAGGCGCAAGCAAACCTTGCTGGCGTTAAAACAGAGCTCATATGGCGGACTACGTACCATGAGTCACTGCCTACAAAGGATGTCATAGAAATGAATGTCAAACTTAGTGCAGTCGCACGGCAATCCAGCTGGAACGTGCTTGACCTCCGCCAGGTGTCAGGGGCTGCCATATCCGCCAACTTGCTGGCTTATTGGGATTCAAAGCACTTTCTTCCTTTTATGAATGACCAGATCAGTGATGTACTCCTCAATTTTCTTGCCTCCTTGTGGAAAATCAAGGATTTTCCAGAGGTGTGCCCTGCCTAGTACACCACGTCTCGACCCAAGGATGCTGCACTAATTCTACACAGCTTCGTTTGACTCTCTCCATTCAAGTAGCGATAAGAGTTGTGGTGCATGTACCATTATTTGAAATGTTGCAGCATATGTACGGTAGTCTGTTCAGCTGAATTGATTTCTGTTTATGTTTATTGGCAAGCTAGCCGTTTGTCAAGCGTGCAAAGATGCTCCTGCACAGTGTGAGTGTTGAAACTCTACAAGGTTAAGCCGCTCATCAGTAGAATATCTGGATGCTAGCAGGAGGCAACACAGCTACGAACGGACTTTCAGTTGCAAGGCCTTGGCTGTCCCGCTGCTGCCAGTACCAGCAGGCAGCAAGGCAGGGAGATGGTCATACACCGGTAGATCATTTCCTCAGAGCACGTGTGCAGGGGCCAGCCTCGCTGTACTATTATCACCTGATTTCCACACACACACACACACACACACACACACACACACACACACACACACACACACGTTCTCCGTCCCCCTCTCTCTGTGTGTGTTGCTTCATGCGGGTGATGCAGTGTACAAAAGTTACACTAAACATGCGGGGAGCACCGATTCCTGGGTGCTGCCTGCATGCAGTAGCAAGACACGCGCACGCGCACGCGGGCGACCGCCCGTCCTGTGTCCGCAGGCGCGCAGCCACGGCCTGGGGCGGTGCGATTTAGGTGCGGGCCAAAATGCGGCCGCCCGGCGCACGGTCATCGGGCGGCCGTGTGTGAAGATTCCCTCCCACATGTACGAGCATGGAGCTCAAGTGGTCCCGCCCAGGCGCTCAGTCTGTGCAGAAACGCTACAGGATCCACCGACGCAAACCAGGACCAGGAGCGGCATGTGGGAATGGCCATGCCATGCAAAATTGGACAGCGTAGGCATTGCAATTATACAAGCGGGCGTGCAGGCACGACCCTTGCCATCTCTTGGGGGAGTCTATGGCTTGGCCGGTTGCGCCGCACAAAGAACCAGACATCACAACAAGAACCTTGGTGCACAGCCTGCCCAGCCTTGATAGAATGCACGTGAAACTTTTGCAACAATGCCGCAGTCGCTCCAAGCAGAGCAGTGCCGCACCGGACGGCCGACGCAATGGCAGGCCGCGGCACCGTCACAGAGACGCGGGGCAGACGGTCAAACAACTGCTGCAAGCTGAGTCAGCACGATGTCGCACGTCACGCACGTGATGCCAACACCCAACACGTCCATGAGCACCTGGGGCCACAGGCATGTGTGTGCGCGCGTGCGCGCGCGCGCGTGTGTGTGTGTGTGTGTGTGTGTGTGTGTGTGCACGCGCGTGCGCACGCGCGTGTTTGTGTGTGTTGTGTGCATACGTGCATGCAAACTTGGAGAACAGGCTGGATACAGTCGGTGCAAAGGGTTACAGGGCTGGCGGAGCTGCACACAGCGCTGCCAGTCTGCCAGCAGCGTCTCACTTGAGCTCCCCCTCCCCTCCTGCCATATCTCTTCCCGTCCACCACGAACACAGTTGTGTCACGCTTGCTTGCTTCCGTGTGCGGTCGTGCCCGTCTGCTGCTTGATCCGCCCCAACCGGGGGCTCGCCCCCTGCGTGCACACACCTCATGCATGCCCCGTTCTCTGCCAAATCCCCTGCATTCGCTCCCCACCTGTATCGACGTCCCCGCGTTTGCGGGGTCGACGCCCGCGCGCGCCAGAACAAACGGCAGCCCGCTGCCCAGCAGGCAGGACGACGCCACGATCCCCAGCACGCTGAGGCCGATGGCCGTCGAGTTGGCCAGGCTGCCGTTGGTGAGGTAGACGCGCGCAAAGCCGGCCGCGCTGAGGGCGCCGCCCAGCAGGATCCCAACGACCGCCTGCTCCAGCAGTGTCGCGCGGATGCAGGCGTCGGAGGTGTCCAGCGCCCCAGTGGCCTGGTGGGTTGGGTGGAGAGAGAGTGTGTGTATGTGTGTGTGTGTGTGTATGTGTGTGCAGGACGTGCACAAGCAGGATGACATGTCGCCAGCGCCGGCCGAGCCCGCCAAGGTGTTGAGTCGGGCGTCCGCTCGGCCCCGCCCGCGTTGTGCATGCCGCGGCCTGGCGGGGTCAGGGGCGGCATTATGTCATTGCTGCGCACCAGGCCGCGGATGACCTTGATGCTGGACTGGTTGCCGGCGTTGCCACCCGCGCCGACGCTGCGAGGGAGCAGGGGGGGGGTAGGCAGGGCGCGGCCCTTAGCAAATGGTTGGTACTGCTGCGCTCCTGCTGGTTTCTGGACTTGGTGGCCCTTTACTGGAGCTTTACTGTGGTTGTACTAACCATGGTCTGTTTGTGTACTGCAGATTTTTCTGCAATGGTGCTGTTGCTTGCCTGCTGCGGACAACTTTTCTGTGTTGGTTGGAAAACAAGCCAGCCCCACTCGCCGTAACAGCCGCCCCATCACGCAGCTTTGGCACCACGCACACTTAAATGGTCTTGTGTGCAGCGACTACAGAAACCATCGCCCGACCCCGCGCAAACGCCGCTGGTCTTCATGTGCTGTCACAGCACCCCTGCTGCTCCTAGTGCGCGTCAGCTCATAGCAGCCCAACCCCGCTACTAGTGCATGCAGCAAAAGGCAGCAAAAGGCGAGTGCTCACAGCATGGTGAGGAAGAGGGTGATGACCAGGTGGTGACTCAGCAGGTCGCTGTAGCGGTCCAGGATGACGCTGCTTAGGGACTGCGCCGCCATCAGGCCCACCAGCCACCGCCCCCGCGACAGCGCCTCGCTCGTGATCTGGGGGGCGGCACGCCAGGATGAAAGGGAGATAAGGTGACGCAGGTCGAACGAGCGCTGCGCGACGCAGCGGAGGGCGCGTGCTGGGCCAGGGGGGGCCGTGGCGGACCCTCGAGACGCCCCTTGCTGCCGCATTCGCGGGCTCTTCTCATGCTTGCGCTGCTTCACGCACGACGCACGCATGTGACAGCCCCTCAGGATCACTCAAGCGCAGCGTGCGCGCGGCGCACGCCGCGCACGCTGCATCCAAAAGCCCAGGCTCGCGCCGCCGCTTGGTGCGCACCGGCACGTGCGCCGGCGGCTCCTCCTCCGCTTCTGGCACCAGGCACATATCGGGGTCCGGCAGGCCGCTGTCGCAGAGGGAGGCGCGGTGCGCCGACGACTCCTCCAGCAAGGCCGTGGCCGCTGCGGTGCCATGAGCGGGATGCTGTTGGGTGCGACGCTACAAGGCCAGTTCGGGTGCCAAGCGCAGCGCAGACCTGCCAACAACCTCTGATTGGAGTAAATTGGATGGGTATGGAGAGCTGGTGGCACCGCGCTGCTCGCACCTGGGTTGCCTTCGCCCGCGAGTGCAGGGCATCGCCGCCGCTGATGACGACGCAGCAGCAGCGAGCGCGCTAGCGGGCGCGGCGCCCAAAGTCCCGCTGCAGCGGGATGCACTAGCCTAGAACAGCTCCCAGGATGATGAGCATGCAGCAGCACGCGCCCCATGTCGGATAAGCCCAACGCCCAGGCTGTGAGGGGCTGGGCAGGCTATGATCTAGGCCAAGTGACGCTTGGCGCGTGTATATGTACTTCGTAAGCGAGGTATTATGGCATAGACCTGTTCTCGGACGGTGCAGAAGCATCGCCTAGGGACGTACGGTAGCCGCGGCCTGATTGAAGCGCCAGGGGACACGATGTAAAAGGGCTATAAAATTGAGCCCTCGTCAGATGTTGCTTGTCAACAGGGCTAAGGGAGGCGCGCTTTCAGGGTTGGGGGGTTACATCACGGGTGCCGAAGCAGCCAGAGCAGCAAGAGCACCGTAGCGCGTGCTGCAGCCAAGCTCCACAGCTCTTGACAAGCCCTGCTTCATGTCATCATACGCAACAGACGCGCTGCATTCTGTCAAGCGCACACATATGCTTTCCCTTAGACATGTGTCAAGCCTGCGGACGGGCACACACCGGTGCGTCCCTGCTGTGCCCCTCGACAGGTGCGTTACTCGCCCCGCCTCCAATCGTGTCCGATCCTCACACCCAGCCCACACTACCGCTAGGCAATGCCTGGCCCGGCCTCAGGTAATCTTGGAGGCCCACCCTGGCCCCAACAGAGCCGCTCGTGAGCAGACCGCAAGGCGCCGCCGCGGCCACCGCCGTTGCGCACCGCGCCGCCGGGCGCGAGCTGGCTGCGGTCGGCAGGCCGTCAGCTGCCGCCGCGTCACTCGTCCCGGTCAAACTCCCCCTCCTCGTACTCGTCGGGGTTGTCGTACATCGGCGGCGCGGCCTCGCCCGTGAACCACTCCACTGCGCGCGGGATGAGCGACTCCTTGAACGCCACGCCCACCTGGCGTGGGGGATGACGGCGTCGGGTTGGGGTGGGGGTGGCGGTGAGGGCCAATGGGGTTCACATTGCCAGGAAAAACGGGTTTGAGGCTTCTGGGCCACTGACAACAGGGGGCTGGAACGTCGGGACGGGGCATACGAACGGGAGGGGCTGGGCGGCGGGGCCCTGACAGCGGTGCGGGGCCCCGAACGGTGCGGGGCCCCGAGAGGTGCGCCGTCAGCGCCGCAGCCACACGCGACCGGCGCGGCCCGTGTCGCGAGAGAGCCTGCTGTCACCACATGCAGGTGCGGCCTCCCAACAGGCGCTGCGCGGCCGTATAATCTCCATTGATACAGCGAAAACGCCATCGTGCGGCCAACCCCCGGAAGCCCCAAAGACCGCGGCCGCCGTGCCCCACAAGGGCCCTGACCTCGTAATCCTCGTCCATCTGCTCCTGCAGCGCCTCCAGGTCCTCCTCGGACAGATCGTCAGGGTTCTCGGGCACCACGGGCGTCCTGGGGCGCACGGGGGAGGGATGTGGTGGATTATGGATGTGTGTCTGTCTGTCTGTCTGTCTGTCTGTCTGTGTGTGCGTGTGTTACGAATGTGCGTGTGTGCTCGTGTATTGTGTGGGGGTGCATGACGAGTGCCACGCGGCGGGCACGCTAGCCACAACAGCTGAGCTGGCGTAAAGGGGGTGGGCCATGCAAGGCAAGGCGCGAGGGTTCCGTAGGGCGCCCTCGGCTCGCTTGCCATGCGCGCTAGGCCCGCACGACACGCGCCGCGGCGCGGCCGCGGCCGCCGCTGTCACACAGGCTGCGCAGTGGCGGGCCGCATTGAGCTTTGAGCAGACATCAAAACTGCTGCCACCGTCCTCCCGTCCCTGAGCCCCGATCACCGTCGCCACACCATCTACGCTCAACCACCTCCGCCCTGGCCGTTCGGCCGGCACGGCGCAGGGGCCCTCCGGCCGCGGCCCCCTGGCTGCCTCCAGCTCACCGGAAGAAGTTGAAGAACGACTCGCAGGGCTCCTTCTTGCTGATGGTGGCCGCGGGCCGCCCCTTGCCCTTCTTGTCCTGCGCGGCGGGGGCGGGGGCGCATGCGAGGGGTCTACGGCGGCCGCGGTGGGGGCCGGCCGCGCGCGAGGCCTTCTGCACTCGCGGCATCGCGCGCTCTGCAACAATGAGCCCCCCAGGCCCGCAGCGCGTTGGCGTGGCGCGCGGCGCGGCCTTGCAGGGTCCCCTCGTGCCGCAAGGGGGTTGAGCGTGGTGGTGAGGCAGGGGCGTGGCAGCAGCAGGAGGGTGTGGCGCCCCACCTGCACGCGCTTCTTCACGATGGTGAATGTCACGTCCTTGCCGGCCTCCCACTCGACCTGCGGGGGGAAGCAAAGGGGGGCGGGACGGCAGGCCACAGCGTGGATGAGGTCGGGTGG